TCGGCTCCACTGCGCCCCCTGTGACCACACATCTGAAGTGCAGGCAAAGCTTTGAACTGTGACACACGACTTGATTGACTTGTTAGTCACACTATACTTATTTTGAGGTATTACGGGTAAGCACGTCATACCGGCGTCACTTACAGGTTAGTGATAAGAATCAATGACATGGAATGAAAGTAATAAAATGATGTCCGTATGAACAAACTGTGGTTCTACAAAAAAAAATTGGTGTGTTTCTTCATACAGGTTTGGAACAACATGAGGGCGAGTAAATGCCAGTATTTTCATTTTAGCTGAACCATACTTTTATTTCTGCAACACTGGGATTACGGACCCCCATATTCCCTCCCACTGTAAAAATTCTCATCTAGATTAATTCTCATCGGATACCCAGGTGTGGTGAGCCACTGTTATTCAGAACCCAGCGCAGGTCTTCGTCAAGCGCAATGCACTGTGGGATAGGGCTCGGTCTGTGCGTAGGGGGGACAAACAGAGCAGAACAGGGTTCATGTAGGGTTGTTATAAGCTTTGTGCGTTAGCATTGAGTCAGATGCTTCGGGAACTGACCGTGTGAGTCATACACAAACAAATCTATCTTTAGTTGGGTTTCTGTAGTCCCCTAGCAAGCCTATTGTGTGGCATCGCAGTCCCGTCGACTATGTTAATGTTTGCACAGCCGCACAATGGTCTATCTGATAACATCATCTGCTACCTATCAGGTTAATACTAAACTGAGGTGACTAGATGGACCAGATCATGAGTAAAAGAGCAAGACTGAGGGAAGAAGAGAGTCGTAAGATTAATATGTGAATAAAAGGAATATGGTTCACCTAAAAAAAATTAATAATTATGATCTAATAAATCATTTTGTCATCTTTAAAGGCCCGTTCACACCACAGACGATAACGATAGTTTTCAAAATCTTTCTAAATTTAAAAGAAAAGCACCACACTACAAAGATAATAGCACAGAGGAACGATATAGAGTGCAACAGTGCCTGCTTTTTTTTCTATTAATTTTTCCTATAAGGATTATAAGAAAGTCTTTGTTAAACCATTATAAGCCATGAACCAAGCCAACCAGCTACGAGGTAAATCATAAAATTACAAACTTTGATTTGACGCGAAAAAGTATTAAGTACTGTGTAACTTTAGTGAGGGAAAGAACGGCAATCCCATGAAGCATTGCGAACTGCATAATCAAATTAAAAACGATGGAGAAACACACACACAAATATATGCTAATTCACCCTACATGAACCCTGTTCTGAACCCCTATACAGATATTTAAGTATTTTAAGACCGTAGGGAGATCGACTCGATTACATCATTTGCGGTGTTTCATGGGAGTGGGCGGAGCTAAAGAGCTCTTTTGGCATTGAACTTTGTTCGACTCTCTGATTGGTGGAATTTTCTGTACAGCATCATGGGTAATCTAGTTTCTCGACACACAATCCGCTGTTCAACACGATTACTTTAAAAAAATAAGTTGAAATAATGCGGGCTGACACAGAATAACTAACATATTTGGAAAGCAGCTACACTTAATTTCTATTCCAATGAATAAATTGAGTCTACGAGTTTGGAACGACATTAGGGTGACTACATAAGTTTAATTTTTTGGGTGAACTTTCGCTTTAAAGGAGAACTCCGGCGCAAAATGAACCTTTGGTCTAATTACACATTGTTACCTAATCAACCGTTATCTGAGATTTGTTTTCATGAGTATCGAATGTAAATAATTTTATCTCTAAAAACAGTTTAGCCTATAAAGCTAGTATAACGCTAGTATATTGGGCATAGTGTAATGACAAATAAAAATCGCTTGTTAATACCACTAACAAGGCTCAAAATAGCCCCACACTAACACGGTAGCATAATGAGGGTCCCTACCTTCAAACCGAAGCATTGAGAACTTTGTCAGTGTCCAGACAGTTTAATAAGAAGATATTTTATACATACAGTCAACTTCGCGTATACAGGCAGAAGCCATCTTTGAAAAGCAGTCTCTACCAGTTGATCTACGAACGCCGATCCAAGTGCGCTGGTGAGATGTGAACGAGCTATGAGTTGTGATAAGGTGAGCGCGAACAGCAGGCTTGGATCGGCGTTCATAGATCGACTGGTAGAGACTGCTTTTCAAAGATGGCTTCTGTCTGTATACGCGAAGTTGACTGTATGTTTAACATATCTTCTTATTAAACTGTCTGGACACTGACAAAGTTCTCAATGCTTCGGTTTGAAGGTAGGGACCCTCATTATGCTACCGTGGGGCTATTTTGAGCCTTGTTAGTGGTATTAACAAGCCATTTTTATTTGTCATTACACTATGCCCAACATACTAGCGTTATACTAGCTTTATAGGCTAAACTGTTTTTAGAGATAAAACTATTTACATTCGATAATCATGAAAACAAATCTCAGATAACGGTTGACTAGGTAACAATGTGTAATTAGACCAAAGGTTCATTTTGCGCCGGAGTTCTCCTTTAAATATGTACACAACAGAAAGGAAAAGACCATGCATTGACTTATTTAGGTATTCAACTTTTTCCACCAGCTCATTTCCATGTTCTAAACAAAAAATACAATTCTTGATTCTGATTGGGCACTCCAATTATTCGCTGTCGTCCATGACAACGTATATCAGCGCAAAGTCGGCGCTATCACGCGGACTCAACTCGCGCGATTTTCATGTAGCCTACATCGTAATTGTTTGTGGAGGTAAGATTATAATATGTAAATTCAATTCAACATGTAATGTTAGAGTATTTAATTATAATGTCAACAGACGTGCAATAAATGGGATAAAGTGCAGTCAGCTGGTCATTAACGCAAAATAAACATCGACAGTAATCTCTCTCCGCGGTATACCTCACTTACCATATTATGCACTTTTTCATATCTGTTGTATTTCATCATCAATACACAGACGACTTGTATGGATGAGGATCCATAGCACCAGGTGGGAAACGTTCTATCACAGCCGATAGGCACATGAAAGTGTGTGTGTGTATGTGACAGGGTGTGAAGGAAGTTATTTTTGAAGAACAGTCTGCTGGACATCTCGCTGACCTTCACAGGTTTGCACCTGCTTCACAGCACAGGTGGTTTGCTTTTGAAAAATACCTGCAAAAGGTAAGAGATGCAGTAGCTTTTTGTGCTGTAAAAGTCATACACCTCAGAGAAGCAGAGTCATAAACGGGGTTTGACGCTATATACATTATGCCGGGGTGAAATTGAGGGTATACAACCATATATTAATTTAAAATACATCTGTTTGCATGTAATAAAGGAACCCCCAGGCGTCTACACTAATCTCTATGTGAAAGTGCGCTATCTAGTGAGCATAGTGGGAATGTACACTTTTGCTCCATGTAATGCCAGTTATAATCCACAGCCATTCGTTTTGAAGTAGCCTACAGCTCTCTAGCGCCCCCGTGTGGTGTCTGATGTATAATTACAATTACAATGTATCTGGTTGCAGTGGATTGGGAAACACTTTTTCTTGCTATATGTAGTCACTAAAATTGTTATAATTACGTTATCTAATATTACCTGGCCTATAATGACATGCATATAGTACTATATTTCCCCAACGAAATCTACAAATACGCATGATGAAACATTAAGTTAAACTTTAGCTTTGGTTTAAGTTATTTTAATATTGTCAATTTATTTGAGATCAATTTGAACAGGATCTTGACCCACACCAGATTAATTACAACATGAAAACACTTTATTTGTTCAATATTATGGCGTATCGTATGGGAAACTGTTCAAAAGAGAGAAAAGGATATTACGGACTTGTATTTCATACAGTAATGATGAACCAGTAGATATTAAATGGCTTATTAAGGTATCGCACCTCTTGACTTAGTAATCTATGGTCATAATTACAATGCCTACTGAACATTAAGCAAAAACACAAAGATCACAAGCATACAGCAGTTTGTTTCCAAAATAGATGGGACGATATATTCAATGTCTCGTAGCGTACTAGCATGCACTGTGGCTGGGCTTAAATGGGGGAAAAAATAGCAGCACAAGACAAATAGTGCCATGAAAACTCCTCAATTCTACAGCCTAGTTTACAAAAGATATTTGTCAAAGCCTGGTGTTATTCATTCAAAACCCCCAACTGGTTTTCCCAATAGGCCAGGCAGAGATGGAGAATATAAGGGGAAAGGCATTGGAATAATACAACAATTCACATTCGGTCTGAACAGCAAGCGTTTTCCTCTCTACAACAGTTTACATTGGGAATGAATTTACAATTACGCATCATCAAATCCATGAGCTAAACGAGAGATGAAAGACTACAGGCGTTATATGCTGTTGCTTTAAGCTTTGAATAAATACATAAATAAATAAATACACATCATGCTTTTATGACGTGAATGTGAGTAGTTTAGTCAGGCTTAGTATGGATGCATAACTATGCAAATGAAAATCGCCCTCAAAATACCTGCCTGCGTACAAAATATCCTGGTTTTTTATTTACCTGTACAATTGAACAAAATCCTAATTTAGCTCTTCAAATTACAGGCATTCACAATCTGTAAAGTAATTAAGAGTCCTTGTCAGTTTGATTACATATTAGCTCAAAGGACGCATTCATGTTTTGTAAACATCGTTACGAAACCAGATCATTCGCTAATTGGCCGCATTTGATTTTTCTTTTGCTCGTTTCACATGAAAGTGAGAATCAACGAGTGCGACTCTCCAACGGATCACCTTCAAAGCTTCTCATCCAGTTTAAATGCTGCGCTAATTAATAACAGGGACTGGCGCTTTGAAAATATTCATCTCTAAACTGAATGTTCATCGGAGTATCTAAACGCTGGCCAAAGCTTGACAAATAACCCTGCTCTTCTTTTGAGGTTCTGAGCCCCCTGTGTTAATACTGTGCGTTTTTCAAGAATTCCATAAGAACGTATCACAACAGCAATAAGAAACTTGCTGCGAAGTTGTTCGTGAGCTCAAACGTTACTAGTGTATGTATATATTAGTCAACAATGCGTTAGTACATTATGTGAACAAGCACCTATACTACGATTCCATGAGGTTTTGAGAATTCAGTGGAGACTAGTATTCAGACAGGACGTACGTCGTAAACGATATAATAAATGGCGTCATGCATTTTTTTATTTATTTAGAAAAACAATGCAACTTTCCCTTAAATTGCGAGAAATAGCTCTGGAGATGAGTTAAACCCTAGTCTTCAAAGTATCGACCTCCTCTGTGCTTTTAAAGAGATGTTTTGCTGAGGTCGACCTTGACCGGGAGCGGCCCCGCCTCCTTGATCTCCTCCGATTGGCCGATTGTCATCGCGATCACTGGCGTCAAGTGGTAGGGGTTCACCTTCTGGGTGTCATCCATGAACTCTTTATCTCCATTGATGCTAAGCTGGAAGTATAACATTGATTATTGACATTTCATTTTTCTATTCAATTCAAATATTAAAGTACTTTATACTTTATAGTAGCCACACTCTTGAAGGAGTTCCCATGTGTGCTGGATACTTGTTGGCTGCTTTTCTTTCACGATTTGCTCCAACTTTTCTATTTAAAGAAATGCTCTCACATCAGCTGCCTTATATTTTGCTGGTAGTGTGTGTTTGATGAATGAACAGGTACCTGAGTCTTGATGTGCTGCTCGGGTGCCGTGACAAGACTGGCACAGCTCAGCCACAGCATCACCATGATGGACAGGAAGAGGCACGCAGCTAAAATCCAACGCGGCAGTCCTGAGCGCCTAGGGCACAGAAAGGGTAAGAAGTAACACACTGATGTATACATCCATTAAGACATTACAACACTTAAAAAAGCTCAGATCATGTTAAAAAATCTATTTAAAAGTGTATCAAGGCTTTTTTATATACTAAAAAATGTGTGTGTGTGTGTGTGTGTGTGTATATATATATATATTATATATATATATATATATATAAAACATTAAAAATGTAAAATATATAAATTAAAAGTATATTATTTAAAAGGTGCTCTATGTAACTTTTCTACTAAAATGAATCCTTTTTTTATTGCCTGTGTGTGAAGGGGTTGTAATCACACATTAAAATGATCCACTTGTCGAGTTTTGCTATTACCTCTGAAGGCCAGTATTCCTATTTCTATGTGAAGTCTCCGGGTCGGATTTACCGCGAAATCCAACGGATGTGACGTGCATGCGCGCTCCCGAGCCTCTCTCCTTATATACAGTCGGTCAGGGAGTTACGTCCGGTTAAAGGCGCACGTTTTTCGGCTTATATCTCAGTCAATCTTTGATCAATATTCCCAAGACTCTAATCGTTCGTAGTGCTGGACGGGGCCTTTTGAACGAGCCCACCCCCGAGGTCCAACTCGCCCAGCTCCCCGAGTTATAGCCGCTCGAAATCGGGGGTCCCAGCGAACGGCGATCCGGTAGGGGGCATCCCCGAGGCCCGCCACTCTAGCGTTCGGGCAAGGGTTCCCCTGGGACCTCCTCCCTCGAATTTGAGCTCTCTGGGTCTTTGCGTTCCAGAGATACGAGCGATTTTCTTCTGAGATCGTGATGTCACCGGCGTCCGCAATTTTGCAGCGCGCCCGATGGTTTTCTGCTAATATCTCCGCGAAAACACCACCAAAAACTATGGAACTTATATGGTTCTTTTCAGCTCGACTAGATGGTCCCAACGAGCTCGGTGCTCGCCGAATCCGTCTAGTATTCGCCGAGATATTTGCGTAATATACGGTATTGTCTATGAGTTCGAGCACGAGCGCTCTTGTAAAATTTGGTTGCAATCTGAAACATCACCACTAGAGGCCGCTAAAAGTTACATAGAGCACCTTTAAATATATTTATATAAATATATCAATTTAAATATGTAAATAAATGTATTTACATATTTATTTTTAACTTACATACACACACACACACGTGTGTATATAAAATGTAGTTAATGATTAAATTATATAAATTGCATTTATTAAAGTAGGTACATAAATGAAAAAATATACATACACAAAAGTATATTAAATTATATATAAAATAGTTTATATATTAATATATATTTTGTACAAATGAATTATATATGTATACAATATAAATAATTCATCTGTGTATAATACATTAAAATATATAAATTAAATGTAAAAATGAATGTACATTTAAAATATACATTGACAACAACTTTTATTTAATACATACAATAGTAATGATAATATGCATGCATACATACACAACACATTAACATTATTAAAACATTTTACTGTGACATAACCAAACTATTACCAAAATGCAACTGCTGGATTGATAAAAGCCCCTCTGACACACACCTTGACATGCAGCCCAGGAAGTCGTGCTCAGCAGCTGGATCCTCGACATGTTGGCTGACATGCTTTCCTTTCACCCCAGGTTTTGCCGCATTCCTCTCCCCATGTGACCTCCCACCTGGAAGGATGCAGAGGCAGCGCTTTCAGCATGCGGACATTGATTTTATGACCCTCAAGCTCCGGACAAACTAGAGCCAGCGCTGCACAGGATGTGTCGCAAATGAAAGTCAAAGCTCAAGCTCTGGTCCTTGAATGAGCTTTCAGAGGAAAAAGGAAAGCTGTCAGCAGCCATCTGGGGTGAAAGCGGTCACTCTTACCAGTATGTGGCCGCTGTGTGTGGGAGTTGACTTGGGGCCAGGGTTTGTCAACCACGTTGGAGCGCGGGGCTTGTAACTCAGGCAAGGAGTACTCGATCTCTGGCTGGCTCTGGGAGAATCAACAAACACACTGTCAAGGGCAGGAAACGGTATTAAGGGATTTACTCCGCAGAAAGGCTTCTGAATGAAACTGTTGGGTTTGTGACCGTTTTGTTGTGGTGAGGTTTTCAACACAATCATGCACAGGCTGGCAAAGCAGAAAATTTTTTTTGCAGAGTGACATACAAAACCTGTGATTCTTACAAACATACAGATGATGAATAGCACGGTTAAAAATGATGATGTAGAGGGCAGGTTTCAAAAACTGCTAGTGCAGCTCCTGTATGCGCCTGTATCATGTGGACAGCTAGAATTGGCAAAAAAAGATTCCCAAAAGGCAAAATTTGAAAAAAGAAAGACCTGACACCAGGCTGATTTGATTACGTAAATTGCAACATTTTATGGAACTGGGCGGTTCCTGTTTATATGGTAACTGCACCAGTTAAATTAAAATAAAATATATCAATTCGCCTTTGGCTAAGCCACACCCTAGAATGTAGATTGACCAATCACAGCGCAGCCAAGAACGAGCTCCCACAGAGGTCCGACACTTTTTCACAGCGCTCCATTGACTTTAACACAGGCGTCTCATAGTTTTGGTCTCGGCAGGCTATTACCGTCGTAGTTTTATCAAAAATATGGTTAAACGTTGTGCCTGGGGCATTTGTAACACAGATACGCGTTTCCCAGAGAGGTTGGAGGGGGGTGTCCGTTTTTTTCCCTTCCCAAACCGAAGTCAAATCCTGACAAGTGTCGTCTAGCACACCCTGCTAATAAATACAACGTTATACTCGCGTAGTCCGTTTGCTTTGTAATAACGATTATAGAAGTGAATAGAGACCTACCCAGCTTTGCATGAACAGTGTTGCTCCTTGATATTGTTAGTCCCAGCCTCCGTCTCGATTACTAGGATATGCGGTGGTTCATTTTTTGACTGTGACCGGTATGCTTTTGCCTCTATTTGGATGCCTTGTTGTTCCTTGCGTTTCACCTGTATGTCGTGAATATAGCCTTCGAACGTATATTGCAGCCCCTTTTGCCTACTTCTATCGGACACTTTATTTGCTGCTTTATAAAAGTTTGATAAAATTTCAGCAGGAAGAGCTGTCACAGCATAAGCCATGTTGATACCAGAGCCCAGATGAAGTTTGTTTGTCGGACGTAGCAACAGTAACTAAGGGGGGGGTGGGGCTTATCCAAAGGCGAATTATATTTATTTAATATATATAATATATAAATTATAAATAAAATATATTAAATGCATTTTAAATATTATAATCTACAACGGTGTTCTCACCAGCATTGACAAGTAGCACACAGGAATAGATACATTTACTTGGTTTCTATTTTTGTTTGCGTTGCACTTGGTAGCCCCGTCCACAGTGGAATCTGATTGGTCCAATCCTGCTCAACATATAATGCCTCTGAATATGGTTGTGTCATTTGCACATAATTTGTACTTTCACAGACAAATTACTTCCCACTTGACTGTTGTCACGTTGCACCTGGTAAGAACTTGGTGTAAGAAGGTCAAGTCGACATTTCGGGTTTGTTTGATGCCACCAAGATTCTTTAAAAGCTATTGTCAGCTGCTTCCAGTTCGAGAAACCACGCTGGAGCACCACGTCAACGAAGTCTCTCTTTCCACCGTCAAATACATGTCCGCCTGGCGGCGCTAAGCCATGCTGGTCAAACCGAGCACTAGACGGCAACTCTGACGAGAGCGAAGGGACAACTTGACTAGAATAAGAGCTTTTAAGAGGCCACTTTCAAACATAATCCAAAGGAAGTGGATTTGAAATCTGTCTCATTAGTCTACGACTGGACGTGTTCCTTTCTGCCCCTCCATCTCGCCCTGTATGTGTAAATTAGCACATGTTTTTTTAAGACTATGTTTCTTTAGTAGCCCCTTGAGATCTTATTAAAGAGAGATTTTTGCTCTCTTCCACTGAATTCTTCTAAAACGGGCTCAGCAGAGCAGACCTCTGAGATAACCTCTCCAGGGAGGCTCATATGAACCACCAAAATGACCAGAGAGAGGGAAACACATGATTTTTCATGTCAGAGTCGCGGTAGGCGTGAACGTGAGGAACTGTTTGGAGTGTCATGTTATTTCTATGGTCTGATAGTCTTTAACTGGAGGCAGAAGGGGTACATTGGAATTGTACATTTTACATATGTATAAATGACTGGTGTGTCCAATCCTAATTTCTAAAGATTAAAGGAATAGTTCAGACAAAATGGAAATCTTGTCATCATTTACTCACCCTCATCTTGTTCTAAAGCCATATGACTTTCTTTTGTGGGGAGAAAATCTGAAGTCTGTTTTCTGTATTCTTTTTTATGCAATTACAGTGAATTACAGGAATTATAGGGAATGAAGCATTCAGGCTTCAAAAGGGTAAAAGCATCATAAAAAAAAAATCCCCATATGACTTGAGTACTCAATTTTTGGAGACGTTGCATTGTTGGAGAAATTAAATAAGCTTTGTAGTAACTTTGTCACACATCTGTTTAAACCATGTTGCATATTTTGCAGAGAGCATGAACCACCTCATATAAATGGTAATGGAAGCACAATATATCTGCCACCATATCGGTATCGGCCGATATATGTTCATTTTTAATGTTATTGTTATCGGCCACGATAAGAAAATTTGGCCGATGTATTATAGCCAATAAATAATGAATTATTTCCTTCAGCTGAGACACTTCAGATGCACACTGTTCGCCATTATGGTTTTGAATTACTTGAAATATGATTGTAATCACTTCAAAAAAAGGAAAATACAGTTAAGTGCAACATGTGCAGCGCAAGTCTATCATATAGGCTACATAAAATTATAATTGTGCGCTTGGCACATGGCTTTTAATGGTGAGACTTTTTTTGTAATCAGGCTCTCCGAAACTATATACAAATTTGGATTTAGATTTATCGGCCAATATATTATCAATATACAAGAGGTTATCGGCTTTCAAACATAAAGAATGATTGGTTATCGATATCGTCCAAAATGTTCATATTGGTGCATCCCACCTCAATTGAACAAGAAACGGCTTCTAACCACAAGTCGAGAGCTTTTCGATGTAGTTTGCGAATGTTTGTTGGAACTATGTATCAGAATTTGTGACCATAGGTGGCTTTTGGGAAACGCTCCCAAGATTGGTTTCGTGAACAGGATCAACCAATTCACTGAAAAGATTACGGGCTCCAAAAGAATTGTTTTATACACTCATATGGATTTTTAACAACATGAAGGTGAGTACAGAATTTTATATTTTGGCGAACTAATTCTTTACATAGACATGAAAAATCCTGAGTCTCGCAGTTGCGTTAATTGAAAGGGATGCTGTCAAAACGATTGAATCCAGATGTCCGCAAGGGATGAGAATCAAAGGGGGAAAAATGAACATCTGAGGAAGTTAATGTTGACTGGCCACAGACCAATGGAATCTTGCCATTAGTGAAAGCGGTCTGATGTGCATCTGTCACGCATTACCGCAGAACTCGCCAAAGGTGATCAATGCAGCTTACGAGACTGCCAAGAAGACGAGGCAGAGATTGTTGACTTCATAGTAAACAATCCCATTTCCCTTATTAGGAATTTGCTTGCTTTCTCCAAACTTGTCTTTTCGCATGTAGCGGCCGTCCACATTGAACTAGCACCGAATTTAAACAAGATGGCCGACCTCCGTCCAAACAAATTAATTGCACCAATCAGTGGCTATTCAGCAAACGAGTCGTGTTTACCCTTCAGCTCAGTGGAAATAGTCTGATTCCTGTTGATTACCTCATCAAAACCCTGGACAGAACGGACAAACATAAAGCCCAGACTGCAGTATAACCAATGTCAAATGTCGGCCTGATACTGATGTGAAACTAGGCTGGAGATCATAATGTAGATCTGAGGAATGGGGGATTTAATACAAATGCTAATATCTGGGTTACAACAAGATAAGGTTGGTGGGACAATCTGTAAATGTTAAAATATATTTCAATACTAGCCACAAAACGTAAAAAAAACCTCTTACTAACCTTTTCTGTATAAAGTTAATTAAGTTTTACATATAAACCCTAAAATGACCAATTCTTCTGTTAAAACCTGTGTATTTTTTGAGCTGCATTTTTTAAGTAAGTGCTTTCAAAAAAATTATAAGCTTCACATTTCTGCTAGCCCCATTCACTTCCATCGTAAGTGCCTCAATATAACCTCAATTGTTGCTTTTTTAAAGAAAAAGAAAAAGGAAGAGAGAGAAATTCTGTTGATTGAGCTTAACTTGTACAGACTCCCTTTAATAAAATGTCCAAAAAATAGCATAGTGCTACTCCAATTCGCAAACACATTGCCTGTTCTTGAATAGTTCAGAATAAATGTGGCTAAAAATACTGGTTATGGTTTTATTTGGCTGTTGATGTATTCCCGCTTTGGCTGTTGATGTATTCCCGCAAATGTTCAAATGAATACTATTCTACCATTACAGATATTCCGAAAAGTTCCAGAGAAGTCACGGAGCGCTGGAAGAACTTCAGACATCAAATCAAAGAGCCGAATAAGCAGGTTCATATAGAATTTGACACCAATGCTTCTTACTAGGGATTGGATTTTTTCAAACTTCAGGGAAATTTGTGCAGTGCTGTGGGAAGCGCTTTCTGAAGTGCAAGAATTCCCTCCAGACCTCTCTTCGAAGATACGTTTTATTAGTTCCTCACAAAAATCAAACAGATTAGAACATAAATCTCGACTTTCAAAATCCAGCACACCCAAAGTTCTGTTTTCATGCCGTGCTATTTATATTCCAGTTGTGCGGTGGTTCACGTAACTGTGAAAACGGCATCATCCGGGCCAAATGCACACCACAGCAGGTCTGTTGAAAAACAATCCGTTTTTATTTCTCTGTTTAGACGCCCGAGGCAAAAAGCCCATCGTTAGTGCTCCACTTCCTCCAGAAATTGAGTCTCCCTATTTCTACAAAGGTCTAATTCCATATGCTTGATTTAATGGATTGGTAGCGAGATGCTACCGCTTAAACCTTGGGTTTTCACCCTCTGTGCAATCTCTGGCCAGTGTCAGTCCTTCACTTGGGCTGGCCATCTTCCAGCTGACCGCTAAATACAGGCCAGGCCTGCCGCAGGACGGCTGTGGAGGTTTTCTCTCGCCTCTTCTCCCGTCACGGCCGTTAAATGCACAATCATCAAGGCTGCGACTAAACTGAAAAAGCTTGTAATGTTTTAGGTGAAGCTTAGCGATTTTCTCTTGGTTGTCTAATTATTGTAGTTGGTTTAGAAACAGCAGGGAACTCACAAAAACATGCTAGGCTATGGATAAAGTTGGATGACCTCCAGGGAGAATAAGGTTTCTGATTAAACATCTTTGAAGAACCAGTCCCCTGCGCTCATATGATCCCAATACTGCACTAATGTGACCGCAACCTTTGTAAAACATACCAGATCTTGAAACCAAGAGCATATGAGAATCACTAGTGGAATCTTCTACACCAGTGATTCTCAACTGGAGGGCTGCAACCCAAAATGGGTCACAGGTTTGATCCGATAGGGAAAAAAACACAACGCTAAATGCAAATAATAAAACTCAAAACATTTGAAATGGAGCAGAAAATGCTTCCCAGATATTTTGTTGCAGATATCAGACGTTGAGTGCATGGCTTGTTTATCCTTAATTTATTAGTTTTGTGAACGCCAAGAACATGAAACCCTTGAAATTCAAAGACATTTAGAAAGCATTTGAAAGAATTGGGTCTATGTCAGGTTAATAATTAAATATTGACTAATTAATGTGTTTGAAATATTATTAAATAGTTTAATTAGTAGTAGTATTAATACTTAGTATATATACGGTACATAGTAGGTTTACGTTTCATTAAGTAACATTCAATATTTTAAGTTTCAATAAATATTCATTATTATTATTATATTTTCTTATTAATCATATTAATATTTTTTTTTAATAAAAGCCTGCTTTCATCAAAACAAAAATGATTTTTTTTAATTAATACAAATTAAAAAAAATTTTTTTGCAACTTTGTGATTGGTATTTAATTTCTCAAAGAGTATTGTATTTATCATAATTTATCATAAACTCATAAAAGTATAGGTTATTTTAAGCAATACCAAAATTACCTTTTTATTTTGAGGTGTAAACTGCAGTGTTGTTATTGTTGATTAAAATGAATACTATTTTTGTTAACTGAAATCGAATCAAATAGAAATATTAGATGAAAAACTTAAACCAAAAAACAAACTTGAATGAAAATTAGAAATGGTGCATTAGCAAATAACTTAAACAAGTTTAAGTGTTAAATTTCTAAGTACTTAATTTCAATACAAAATAACAATAACAATTAACATGTAGGCTATGTAAAAATACTAATAAATGTACATTTTCTATTTTCAGGAATTTTTTTGTTGAATTTAGTTAAATAAACAATAGGGTCCAATGTACAATCTTGGCTCATTAGCAAAACCAGTTGAGAACCACAACATCAGGTCTACTCAGAAGAGCAGAGATGGACTAACCTGGAACACAACGACCTTCCCATCATCAGCCTGCAGGTAGAAGGTCCAGGTGGAAGAAATGAAGCTCTGGGCGGAACTGACGATGTCATTGCACCAGCTGGACACGGCATCCATCACAGAGATGGGCTTGGGCCGGTTGGTCAGAGCCTTGAGCTGCAGATCAAGCCGAGGGAGCGATTTGATAGAGATGTCAAAACATCAGCGCAATCCCAAAAGGAAACAACCGAGAGTCTTACCTTTCTCCGTTTGATCTCCGGCTCAGCGGGTTGGCTGGCACACCCTGTGCTGCACGCCTCCTGCTCCAGCAGTTTACTGTAGGCCTCCTGGCATGCTGCGCACACACACACACACAAACGATACCTGTCAGGCGGCTCCATCTCCATTCAACCCTCCCCACGGTCAAGCAGTCATCAATATCAACAAACATCTGAGCAGCAGCCGCCCGCTCCAGAAAGCGCAGGATTGATTTTCAATAAAACAGCTTCCCTCATGCCTAGCAGCTTCCCACAGACAGCTCTGTTTGCCACTAGCACACAATACCATCTCCAGATAAAAATGAGTCCTATCAGCCTGTCTGCACACTCTATAGTATATGTCCTTGGGCTATGCGGCGCTTCATTCCCAAACATTAGCCGTGTCAAATGTTCATGAACGGTTACGCATTTAAAACAAAAGCTTTTCTTGCTTTCAATTTAGTACTAGCAGTCTGATATCTCTTACTGGTTCTTAAGCTGAGTTCAATTCCTCCAGTGAGGTTTGAACTTATAAGTACTGGAAACTCAATTATGACATGCGTTCAAGAGATTTCGGTCAGAAAAGTAGACTTAAGGTGCGGTCAAATTTACCATTGTTTGGCAGATTTTTGCCATTTCAAGATGAATCCCCACCAATTGAAAACTGCTTGGTTTGAAAGTGACTTCTGTCACTGTGCGAGTTGTGCTTTACTACCGACAATAGACAATGGACCTTTTTTGTCTGCGAACTTTCGCTAATGTGATCTCGCCTTTAGAGGGATAGTTCACTTTGAAATACATTTTTGATATGTTTTAGCTTACCTCAAGGGCATCCAAGATGTAGGTGTCTTTGTTTCCGCAGTAGTTTCAATTTTGATATTTTTAGGTCAAACCGTTCTTGTCTGTCAGTCATATAATGCAGGTCTATGGTCACCACCTCAAAGAGCATGCACAGAGAAGTCCAAATTAAACATGATTTAATGACTCGTAAATGTAAGTACACATTGATGGCCTAAGACACGAAACGAGCGGTTTGTGTGAGAAAACGAACAGTATTTATATCGTTTTTACCTCTTGTAACCACAGCCACGTCCAAGTGATCTGAGGGCGCGGGCGCTTCGGTCTGTGCGTTACAAGAGGTAAAAACGATATAAATACTGTTCGTTTTCTCACACAAACCGCTCGTTTCGTGTCTTAGTCCATCAATGTGTACTTACATTTACGAGTCATTAAATCATGTTTAATTTGGACTTCTCTGTGCATGCTCTTTGAGGTGGTGACCATAGACCTGCATTATATGACTGACAGACAAGAACGGTTTGACCTAAAAATATCCAAATTGAAACTTCTGCAGAAATAAAGACACCTACATCTTGGATGCCCTTGAGGTAAGCTAAAACATACCAAAAATGTATTTCAAAGTGAACTATCCCTTTAAGCAGCATTCAAGTCCTCCAGGGAAGTTTGTACATACAAGCACTGGAATTGGAATTACGACACGAGTTCAAAAGATTTCGGTCATATCCCATAATTTACTCACCCTCAAGACATCCTAGGTGTATATGATTTTCTTCTTACAGCCTAAACACATTTGGAGTTATCCTGGCTCTTCCAAGCTTTATAATGGGAGTGAATAGTGACTGATTTTGAAGCCCAAAAAGTACACCCACCCATCATAAAAGTAATCCATCCGGCTCCAGGGGGTTAATAAAGGCCTTCTGAAGAGAAGCGATTTGTTTTTGTACTTTATAAACTATAATGACTGGCTTCTGGTAACGGCCGTACACGAGTCGGGTTACGGCCGAAGAGTGAACTCTGACCCGACGGATAATGTATTGAAAAACACTGAAGCACAGAGGATAGAGCAAAACAAAACACCGGTCACAAATTAGAAGTCTAAAGCAAGATTTTTTTTTTAAAGAGAAATGTCAGAGGAGCTTGAGTTTGTTGCTCAGCCCTATTTGTTTGAACCGCGAGAGGCGTTAAAGCTTTCGCTACTCCTACATCATCCGCCAGAACCCGACTCTCTCGTGAACGGACGTTACAGGAAACTATTGATTACAGTTTATAAAGTTATAATTATGGATATTTTTCTTACAACAACGCATCAATTCGCATTTAGAAGGCCTTTATTAACCCCCTGGAGTCATATGGATTACTTTTATGATGGATGGATATGCTTTTTTTGGGCTTCAAAATATCAGTTACTATTCACTTCCATTATATATAAAGCTTGGAAGACCCTGGATATTTTTTTTCCCCATATAACTCTGATTGTGTTTGGCTTAAAGAAGAAAATCATATACACCTAGGATGGCTTAAGGGCGAGTAAATTTGGGGATAATTGTCATTTTTGGTTTAACTAACCCTTTAAGGTGATTCATACATTGCTACACTATTGACCTTTTTTTTACTGCAAAATTTCACTAATGTGACTGCATCTTAAATAGGTCATTTGAAAATGTAGCTTAGAAAGCTACAAAGCTAAAGGTCATTTGAAATAGTTAGCTACCGTACAAGCTGCTAACAAAAAGCTGAAATTAGGCTACTTATAAATGAATAAAATAACTATCCAATGATGTCATTTATAAGTTAAGCATAGTCATTTTTTGCTAGCACATAATGACCGATTGAATGAATGAATCTCAGAGTGACAACATCAAACTTGCCCAGGTACATTTATATAAATACAACATCAAATGTACATAACTGAGTCCAAATCATAGTGCAGGAGTTGAGTCAGTAAATCATTTGTTTTTAAATCTCTTACTGTCAAAACAAACCAATTCACTAGAATGATCTGAACGTTCCAATGCTGTGGTTAAGTTAATATCGTTGCTACATTCAGCTACTTCCCAAAACTGGTCAAAATAGGTCGTGTACCTCCCTGGCACTCTTCCTTGCTGGTATTGATGCCTGCATTTCCATTCACAAACTGGCAGATGGAGTAGAGCCGACAGCCACGGTGACAGGCATTCATGATGGAGTCCTGTAGGGACAAGGTAAAAGCTTCATTCAGAATGAATCCTTTTGTACGGTAATATATGTAATTCCAAGAATCGCTTTAATTGATGTTCGGATGTTTTTATACAGAGGGACATTGTAGATGTATGGAGGTGCTGTCAAAGGACCTTTTATGCAAAATCCATCTTGAGATCCTCAAAATCATTATGCAAGATGTGACATGCCAACGATTTTCTAAATAGTACGCCAGAATGGAGGATTGATTGTGGGTGGCGATAGCAGAGCACTGGTTGAGTTTTGAAGATGGAAGGGCAAAGTAAGATGATTCAAACCCACGCAAGGTTGACTCATGACTTTTAGAGTTACAGGAGTCACCTGACCCTGCAGTGACCTCCTTCAGTGAGCCACAATATTAAAGGTTACTCCAGAATTGACAGGGAGCTGAACAATATTTATATATATATATATATACACACACACACATACTATATATATCGCACAGTTGATGCTAACTGCTGAGGTGAATGCAAGGTATGGATTTTAATTCATCTTTGTGACTCAAATATTTGAATCCGTTCTCTAAAGGAGGTTGGTTCACTGATTCGTTCAGTGAATCTTTTTTACAAGTTGCACTGATTTGTGGCATGAGCGAGTCCTCAAATCATTCAAAGTGATTCGTTAAAAAAAACAGCGAGACACTCCTGAAAGAGAGTGATTCATTCACTTCGAAGATTTGGCCGTTCATTTACACGACAACAGCGTTTTGGTAGCCTGAAAATGCTAACTTTTAAAAACGGGATTAAAAGTGAAAGATTTTGAAAACGATACCGTTATCGTCTCGGTGTAAACTACAAAAACACGAATTTGTGAAAACAGTGACGTGATGTGCATTACGTGTTCAATCGATAGCCGCGTAGTGTTTCTTTGCAAAGTGACATCGCCAACTGCTGGCCTGGAGGGCAGGCATAATACAGCATTTTTAGTCATTAATTTTTAGCATTTTTTGCATCCGGGTGTAAGGTGATTGTTTTGACAACGTTGTCATTTGTAAGCGAAAAACCCAAAGAAAAAACTTCTCTGTTTTTAGTACATCGTTGTCGTGTAAACGTACCCATTTTTTTTTTACTAATTATCCTCAAAAGCATTTCTTTTTATTAAATCAAAAAGACTTCTGAATCAGTCGGAACAGTTATTGAATTGCAAGTAATTACTTTCGTTATATCCTGCTTGAAATTATGACCTTCAGTGTCATCAGTGGGATTTAATGAAAATGAATGAATGAAAGTTACAGTTAAAGGTCCACTTTTAAAGTCATTTAAAGTCTATTTAACAGACCTTTTCCAGTATTATTTGTTATATCTGTTCTGTTGAAATCTGAAATTATCTCGTTGTTTTTTAAGGCAGTAAAGACAACTTGAGTTGATGAGAATTAGAATCGTTCGCATCCCTTCTCATCCCTACAAACGAACCTCCACTAGTGCAAAGTGATGCAGGCTGCAGGGAAAATAAGGATTCCATCTCAGTTTCTCAATATTTAAATCTAAACGAATGTAGGCCTAATTGAATGACGACGCACACCACGGATATCGAGCAAATTTCAACCCACGTCTTTACGGGCCATCATCAAACAATGGACTGAATGGAGATGTGCTCGCGTGTTCGGCGAGAATTCTATTGCCGCGTTCCGTTTGGCGCATTTAATGCTTGCCGTTTAAACGCATCCGAATGACAGTTCCGGCCAGACAGCGCCTGTGTCTACATATTGACCGTTAAAATCCATGCGTCATAAAGTATCATTCTCGGCCTGTTCTTGGTGGATACAAAGTAACGTTTCCATGCGGTGACAAAAACTAGGACACAGAAATCCATGAATCGATTAAGAATTGGCTCGGGGTGCTGCCAAATTATGCTCCATTTTTGCGCAGTGTCTTTGCGCAGAACAGTTTTGTGTCAAAATGAAGGTTTGGTTTAGCCTAATCTCGCACGTTGCCTATAGTAATTTTCAATTGCAAAACGATTTTATTTATCCACATTTGCAAATGGCTGCGGCTCTGATGAACCACTAGTAAATGCAAATTAATATTAAATGTATTTTTTCCCACAGGCCGTTACAACATACTGCTGAGCATCTGGTACATGGCACTTACTTTGGCGGGGCTTTTGTTTTTGATGGACATCTGGCATTGTTTTTTGCAGTAATTGATATCGCCCAGTTGATTGTCAAACAGATCAGATGATGCCGCCGCCAACGCCACCAGAATCAGAGAGACGAGCGCGGGAACGCCGCGCACCCTGCCGCCGAACTGGAGCATCTTTTATTCGCAGGATTCGGTGCACTGGCGCGTCTGCGGTCGGTTCGGAGCGTCTCGACCTGTCCCTGCCGTTGCTGCTGCTTCGGTTCGGGCTCTATCAGCCTCGGCGATCTCGTGCCTTTGATGCGCCGTGTCGTCACTCCTCACATCATCACGCACGCGCTGCGCGTCTCCGTCCAATGCATTGCATTGCAGTAGATCGGGAGTGGATAGAAAGAATATAGCATATCCTACAGGGGAAAATATTTATAGTTTTATTATTATTCCAAATAAAAGCAACCACACAAATGTTTCATTTCTACATCATGAAATAATAAATTGACATGAGCAAAGAAACTGAAATAATAATAAAAATATATGGAACAATATGGGGATTTAACTTCTTAAAATTGAATTTTAGATTATTTTTAGTATTATTAACACACACACACACACACACACATATACATATATATATAAATGACAAAATGTTACATTTTAATTTAAAAATAATTTTCATTTTAAAAATCATTTTAATTATAATTGCCTGATAAAATGTTATTTGACTTGAGCTATACTATAAAAAAGTTGCTGCCTTGAATTTTTAAGTCAATTCAACTTAAATTACATTAAACTGACTTAAAATGAGTTTATAAAAAAGTTGAAAATTGCTTAACTTATTAAAACTTATGTTGTCATAACTTATTGATCATATAATTTGTGTGATCTGTGACCAGGAATAAACACATACTTACCCTAACTTTTCAATAATCTATCCAATAAACAAAATACATGTTCTAAGAAAATATCAGTTCATTTCCTAACTATTCAGCAATTACACAATTCAAATTGAACCAGCATGGGTGTGGATTTGCGCTTTATAAAAAACAGCCCATAATAAACTATGCATTGCAGATAAAAAAATATGGCCTTGTGTTTGTGCAAATAATGAATACGTGAGGAATAGCCGACACTTTTGGAAAGGGTTTATTTCGTTATTTTCTGTCGTGGCCAACTTAGCATTCGAGTAAAGAAAACACTGGCTGCAGATGCCCTAATAATGACTTGTGTTTGTGTGGTAATACATGGGAGGAGCTTCAGAAGAATCAACTTTTTCAGCTTTTGAGGCGTTCACTATATTGATTCTTCTCTAAAATTGAGAGTGAATGTGAATCTGAGCGTCCTCTCCGCATAATGGTGCTTTTCAGAACCAGCAATGATTTTCACGAAGCTTTCTGGTGATTAAGGCTTTTATTTTTCTGCAGTTTATGTGAAGGAGAATGGATTATTGGTACGCGCGCTCCCATCAGCATGACAAGAATCGAGTTGAGAGCGCGCGCGACAGACAAATGACAATTTCAGTCATTATGTTGTTTTTTGTTGCGCTTCTTCCATATGCACTCACAGCACGTAAGTACAATTTCATATCTATTTCAAGTTTATTTTGAATTAAAGCCATTTGAGAAGTCTACAAACTTCATCTTCATTTAAAGGTTATTGAGGCGTTTATGATGTTTTCATTTTCATCTCTACTTAAGAATGTCAAATTAGTGGTCATATTCTCCTTAGTTTTGACTAAAATACTACAGTTAAGGAAGAATTGTTGCCTTTAACAATGGCAATTATCCACTTTCATCAAGTAAATACTGAAATGTTCTTAAAGCTTTTCATACTGTTTGAAGGCGACCCTAATCGTTTAACTTGCATTTGGAAGAAACGGTAGTTACCAAGGTAAATTCGTGCAAAAAGACGCTATATTAAGATAATAACAAAACATATCTCTGTTAGAATAACGCAGTATTCTCTAATAAACAAGAAAATACGGTAACATATATATCGTGTTATTCACACACTGTAAAAAATATTGTTGGTTTAACTTAAAAAAGTAAGTTACCTGCTTGCCTTAAAATTGTTAGATAATTGCATTTAAAAAAAAAGTTAATACAATGAAGGAGATTGATTAAATAAATAGAATCTCAAAATTATATGTTATTTGAACCACATTAATTATCTAAGGTGATTTGACAAAATATAAAAAGTTGTGAAAACAAATCATGAAAATAATTTTTTACCGTTCAAAACAGCTCGTCCTTGAGTGCAATATTGCTTTTATAAAACAGTTGCCTCGTTTGTTTTTTAAAACAAATTCAGTAATGTATGCATCCTTCAGATAGAAGACAATAAAATGATGATATGCAACAAAAATAATCTGCTACATTCTGTTTTGACGAAACAAAAGCGTTAGAAACTGTGTCCTAAATTGAATATAAATGTGAATATAGTTGTTCAATCACCAGTTTCATTGGCCAGTATTTCCAAACTATGCTCAAGGAGAAAAAAAGTGTCCAATAAGTACTATAGTTTTAGATTAACAATTCAGTCTTGTTTCCTAACTCTTCAATGTTCCTTAGAGTCCAATGGCACGTTAAAGAGCTTGTCCGCCTCCCACCAGGAGCAGAAATGATCCACATCAACACTTGTTCTCCCTGAAGGCCAGAAGTAGTAGCTTTTCAAACCCAGCCATTGTTCCCTCTGAACATTTATCTTTAACATGAATAAATATGAGCTCTGTGGACACACAAGACGAATATTTACAAGATGGAAAACCACTTAAGATGCTGAAAAATGACCTTGTGCAACCTTTCCAACTGGCGGTCATAAATCCAGTTGTAAAAATTGCTGGAATCATGAAGTCTTCTCTTCTTCTGACCCCCAGACTTGGCTGTCATATCCCCCCAGGATCCAGTGCTTTGCATCGGCTCGAGCTTGACTGCAGTGTGTACTGTTAGTGCCGAGCTGGAAATAACAGCTAGGTCCTTGTACTGGACGCTGAATGGGAGACGCTTGGCCAGAAACACTTACAGAGTCCTGAGCCCAACCGAATCAAGCGTCACACTTCATCAACTCAATGGCTCCTTGCAGCAGTCAGGAGACAACCTGGTTTGCCACCGAAGCAACGGAGAAGTGTTGGCCGGATCGTGTATTTATGTTGGCTGTGAGTGTGTGAACAAGTTTTGGTGTTTTTTTGGTATGTGTTTTTGAATTTTCATGCCGTCCTCTTCTTTTTGTTTTAATTTGATGTACAGCACCCCCTGAGAAACCCGTCAACCTGACATGCTGGTCACGAAACACCAAAGATCTCAGCTGCAGATGGAGTCCAGGGAGTCAAGGAGAAACGTTCATCAATACCAAATACGTCCTCAAGTACAAACTAAAGTGAGATTCTGAGACCAAAAAACGTCATACTTTTCCAGATTTTTTTTTTTGTGCAAGAATCCCTTTCAGCATGCAACTTTTCCATTTTAACGTCCATCTAGATGGTACGGTAAAGAGAAAGACTGCGAGGACTACACGGGACAGCCGTATATGTGCTACGTTCCACGCGACCTTGCCATTTTTACACCATATGAAGTCTGGGTGGATGCGTCCAATCAGCTTGGCTCTGCCACTTCTGATGTGGTCACCTTAGACATTTTAGATGTAGGTAAGTAGCACTAAAATATGCTTGTTTGATGGAAAAATAGATGTTGGGATCAAGGTCACTTGGGATTACGTTTCCCAACTCACACATAGATGCACAAAACCATATGAACGTCTCGCATATGGCGCGCACACTCGTCTGAGAGAATAGATTTTTACAGACTGTAAAAGCACTTTCCAACAGCTGAAACATTTCCAAAAGGCATCTTGTGAAAATAGAAGTTTGAAGGTCAATGGGCAACTGAAAGTCTGTTGGCAATTGGTTAAAATGTATTATTTGACAAATTACTTTTTTGACATACCAATGAATTAATCGAATTAATCACAATTAAATTACTTCCATCATTCAGCTATTTTTGCAGAGAAAAGCAAAGATATAGCATTACTACACCAACTTCAAGCCCTCATTTCCTCATCTTCTAAAACAATAAGCTCTGGAATTCTCCATGATTGGCTTTGGCCTAAAGGCGAGCTTGATTAAAAAACGTATCAGTGGAGCACGTCCAATCGCAAACATCAATGGAAATGGGAGATTACATTTGCAGCGGCAAAATATCATCTAGCTAATGAGCAGCGATCAAGGTTTATTGGGAGATTCAATTACAAGCAGCTACATATTTTTCAACTCTTTGAAGGGATCTTTCCCTTCCAAGAGTTAAAAACTTGCTGCTTGTAATAGTTTAATGTATAGTTTGATGGTTACCATCTTTTGTTGGGTCTAATCAACAGTTCTGAAGCAAACTTTTCACAGTGTTAGATAATGCAAACATCTTTGTTCAGTAACTACAGATCCGCCTCCTGATGTCCTTGTGAGCCGCGTTGGAGAGCTGGAAGATCAGTTAAGTGTTTGTTGGGGCAGTCCTCCTGCCCTGAAAGACTACCTGTTTCAGGCCAAGTATCAGATACGATACCGTGTGGAGGAGAGCGACGAATGGAAGGTATGGCTGGAAGGGTTTTGTCCAACGGTCTCCAATCCTGCTCCTGGAGTGCCAACGTCCTGCTGAGTTTAGCTCCAACATGCCCCAACACACCTGCCTGGAAGTTTCTGGTAATCCAAGGTGTGTTTAATTGGGGTTGAAGCTAAACTCTGCACTATTGAAAATAATGGTTTCAAGTATTCATAGCGATGCCATAGATCAGGGGTTCTCAACGCTGGCCCTCGAGGTCCTGCAGAGTTTTGCTCCAACCCTATTCAAACAGACCTGAACAAGCAACTCAAGGTCTTCAGGATTACTAGAAGGTTATAGGCATTAGGCTAGTATTTGAATATTTCAGTGAACAGTTCTTAAAGGAACCATTTGATGAGGTCATGGAGCTCCAGACTTCCAGAGGGGAGGGTGGGGTTGGTGGGGTAGGTGGCTCCCGCTTGGCACCCTTTTGCCCCCTCCTCGACAATAGCCCGAAGGTCCGTTTTTGGACCATCTTTGCTCCAACTAGAGATCCGTTAGGGCCAACGAGCCTGACTGTGCCTGGGTGTGAAGAACATTTTAATAATCTAAAGAAGCTTTTTGCACTATATTGAATCTTTTGTGCAAAGGTTCAATAGATGTTAAAGGTTCTTCATGAAAGCATTGATGCCAACAAAAGAACCTTTATTTTTAAGAGTGTGGAGCAGGACTGGACAGTCCTGGGTTAGTCCAACAGAAAAATAAATTTAAAGCAGTGTTGTCCAATCCTGTTCCACCTTCCAGCATCTGAAATCATGCACTTCCCTTCCATATAGTAGGGGAAAAAATGATGTGATCAAAGAAATATGTCCAAATTCACAGTACTCATTAAAAAGTAGGCAAAAAGTACCCGGATGACCTACTACTTCCGGCGGGATTCTGAAGTGTCCATATGATAGACACTTTGAGGCCACGGGAGAGGATTTGTGAATGGCGGTGAAGCAATTGACACTGGTAGGTCATTTACGAGTTTAAAATTAATATTAAACTGGTAGTTTAAAATTACGAGTTTACACATTATAATTACAAGTTCTACAAGCACTTGAAGGCTTTTAACAGTTCAGAATCATTACTGTAATTACGACATTTAGGACCTTTAGGATCACTAGAAACTTCCAAGCAGGTGTTGGAGCTAAACTCTACAGGAAAGTGGCCCTCCAGGAGCAGGATAGGACACCCCTGATTTTAAGGTATAGTTCACCCCAAAATGAATATTCTGTTATTATTTAGGGTCCGTTTACACAACACTTTTTTAAACTAAAAACATCCAACTTTTATGCATTTTGGCCGTTCATTTAGACAACAACAAAATAACAAAAGTGCAAGTTTTTGAAAACAGTAGTGTTTCTTTACTAAGTGACATCGCCAACGACTGGCCTGGCATGAATAATACAGCAATTTGATTCGTTTTTGGGGATCTGTGTGAATTGGGATCATTTTGACGTTTGTCGTCTGTAGTCAAAAACACAAAGGAAAAACGTTTCCGTATTTAGTGCATCATTGTCATGTAAACGTACCCTAAATCAGCCTCATGTGATTCCAGAGGTTTCTTTGTTCTGCGAAATTATTGATTTGCGAAATTATTTGAGGAATCTCCTGGCCACTTTTCCTAACCCCTAAATGACATACTGACTCATAAAGGTAGTCCATATGACTCATGCATTATATAGTCTTGAGAAGTAACAAGATAGCTTTGTTTGAGTGAATGATTCGATCACTAATCTGATTGATCTGGTTCTCAGGTTCAACTCACTGACTCAATGATCCAGCAGTTAACAGCTCACTGGAAAGGAAATTTATCAGTAAATTACGACTGTAATTTCAATCTGTTCTTCACAGAAACCTTTAGAAGTTAGTCATATGGACCACTATTATGATAGCTTTGCACAAGAAAGTTATACAGGTTTGGAACGACATAAAGGGGAAAAACTTATGACAGAATTCACATTTGTGGGTGAACAGCTTTACCCAAATCGTCCCCAATATAATGTCTAGTGTGCAAACTTAATTGTATTTCCCCTCAGGTGATAGATGATGCTGGGAACCAAACGTCATGTCGGTTAGCGGGTCTCAGAGCCGGCACTGTGTATTTTGTCCAAGTACGCTGCAACCCAGTGGGCATCTATGGATCGAAGAAGGCAGGTATCTGGAGCGACTGGAGCCACTCGACCGCTGCGTCAACACCTGGCATTGGTGAGTTACAGCAAAATTCATAGCAGCAATTCAACGTCCCTTTACTTCACATTAGGCTTCTGCATCATGCGCTAATTAGATTCAAACCATATGTAAACACTGAAAAAAACATCAAGCTACTTGATAGGGATCTCTCATAAGCAGATTCAAAAGACTTCAGTAAAATGTCAAAGCGCTTTAGGGGACAATTGATGAATTCTTTGAGCTTGTCTCAGATTGATAAATTAAAAAAGTCTTAGAGCATGTTCAGATTAAAGGGGCGGTCGATCTGAAACTTAGTGGAAACAGATTCGGTTCATAAGAAATGATGTTACATGTCTTGCATTAAAGAGAGGATGTTATTAACCTCTGTTTTATGCCAAGCAATATGAGTTATGGCAAGTCTGAGCTCCTCTTCCTGCATTCTGTTTAATGCTCATTAGCAGAGAGATGGTAAATAGCCTATTATTCATGGGAATGTGCACATCGCTCAGGGCCACACTATACAATCGACAGCATTTAAGCAACTGTCGTCAGCTGGGGTTGAATTTAACAAATGTTTTACAAATGGTTCACATATAAAATATGTACACTTTAATGCAATAAAATACCAAATAATGGGTGCTAGATAGAGCTGGTGATATACTGAATATTCACAATATATTCGGGAGGAATTTTGTGGAATTTCAATGTCGTGGATATCACCTTTAAGTTTCCTATAAAAAGATTGTGTCATCAGACTTGTTTCACAATCCTTCCTTTTCTTTTATAAAAGCATTATAGCATTATATTTTTTTAAAGAGTTGGTAAGTCAGATTCATTTTCATGAATCAGTTCAAACAGTCTAATTCATGAATCATTAATAATGAATCAATTCCAAACCAGTGTTGTAATTGATATGAATTAAATGTATTAATATTAAATGATTTATTTAAATAATAATTAATTAAAATAAAGCTAGAATCAAAAAATTAGATGCAAAGCAAAAGTTAGAAATTATATATATATATATAAAAAATACTAATAACTATTATAATAGTATATAAATAATAATAATAAAAAAACTAATCACTGATAATTTTTTTTTCCATTTTTTAATGTATTACATATAATATGTTGAAATAAAAATGTATGTAGGTAAACATTGATTTTTTTTTTTTTACTATGCAATGATAATGGTGCAATATAAATTAAAAACAGGAGAAAAAAAATTAATGATTTATAAATATATCAAGATTAGGGATTCACCAATATAAAAATTCAGACTTTTACTGATAAGCTGATAATTATTTTGGTCATTTATTGGCCATAAAAATAAAGTTAGAATTCTATACCATTTTTGTCTAAATTCAAAATAAAACAGTAAAAACTAAAATTAATCATTTTAAATTCTACAATTGTATTTAGGAATCACAACATTATAATGAACAGTATGAAATATTATATATATTATATTCTTTTTGATAACTGATATATCATGCATCCCAAAATGAATTCTGTCAAAATGTTGCAAAATAGTAAACATTTTTATAATTGCCCAGTCCAATATATACGAGTTTGAATTTGTAGTTGAACATTTACAGTTATGATTTTTTGTAACTGCTCTCTTTAATGTCATTTTCATTTCCATTTGCCCAGCAGAAAGGTCCCATAGTTGCGATTCGAAGCCCAGCGAGCACAACTCAACGCTACGAAAGGAGCTCAAGCAGTTTTTCGGCTGGATGCGCAAACACTCTTACGGCTGTACGGACGTCAGCATCAAACTCTACGACCAATGGCGCGTCTGGCTGCAGAAAGCCCAGAAAACACACGACCAGGTCAGTAAGGACAAAGCGTACCCTCTATTGCGACGCATATCATGAGGGCAAATCATCACTCTCGGTACACATGAAATACAGCCACATTTAGTGGTTTTATGTGACCCACACAAAAGAGAACCAAAATATCCGTTTACGCTTTTGATCAATAGACTCGCATTTGATTGCGTTTGCTAATGGCGGAGCATCATATAATCTTCAGACGGTTACCACAACAGACGGCAACAGCCAGTCAAAGTAATCAGCCGGAATGCTAATAAATTCCTTTTAGGTTAGACTGTGCAGCAAAGCTTCAGCTGCGATCCAACCGAGCACGAAAAGTCTTGTGTGGCGTACGAGAATGCTATCCGACATCCGCTGCACGCTCTCTGAACCGATTCAGTGGTTACTGTTGCTCTGGCACTGACGACTGTTGGGAAACTTAGGCCGCTTCATTAGTCACACTGTCCTTTGAAGAACACGATATAACTGCCACAAGAATGGCTGGTACCAATTACGCTTCTCTGTCCCTATATATCAACTCATCACATTCACTTGTAAATGCCATTGTCTTGCCTTTCAGGTACTACAAAGCGGTAAATCATAGTGAAACTCTAAAGAAGGCTTGGGAGAGTTTGCGGGGGCCTGCGACAACAAGGTTTTTATCACTCTCCAGTGCTTGGGACGTTTCATCTGGATGAGCCAAGACTCTCTGAAGGAATCCGCAAGGAGACTGTAGTTTGGCGACATGATCTACTGCATCTCCTGCTATAGTCCCCGTCAAATACGTCAAAGGAAGTGCTTTTGTCTCAGACATGTTATTTATAAGGGCATTAAAGCATAAAGAAAGACTCAAAATGACGAAAGAGAGCATTAAATGTTGATAATGGGAGACTGTCATTCTCATTTCTCATCTCCCTATTGACCTGTCATCCAAAAAAGGACCTTTACAACTACACTGTAAAAAGTGAACAGTTGACTTAACTAATAGAAAAGTGAGGAAACCCGTTGCCTTAAAATTAAGTAAATAAACTTGAACAAATTAAGTTCTGTGGACTTGTCAAGTAACTTCTAACTTAATTTTAACACATTAAGTAACACAACTTAATTTTTTCAATTACGCATGAAGTTTATTTTTTCAAGTTCAGTTGAAGTTAAGTTGAAGAAAAAGATCTTTTAAATATTTCTCTCTTAAAGGGAAAGTTTACTAAAAAAGTGGTCGCACTATACAACAAGATCTCATTTGTTAACATTAGTTAATGCTTTAACATGAACTAGCAATGAGTATTATATTCTTCAAGAATTTATGAACCTTTGTTTGTTAGTTAATAAATTCATGTTCTGTGCATTAACTAATGTTATAGATACAACTTTTGATCTTAATGTATTAGTAAATGTTAAGATTAATAAATGCTGTCAAATTGCTGTTAACTATTGTTCATTGTTAGTTCATGATAACTAGTCAGCTAAAAGGGGCTTTCGCACCAGGTAGTACTAGTTATAGGAACTTGCCACCAGGGCAGTCCCTCGAGAACTAAATGTTAGGGTCATTTTCATGGTTGCATTCGCACCGTCAACAGGAACTCTGCAGTGACGTAAGCTGGCCGTCATTTAAACGTAGCATTCAACAACGGGAGGATGGAGGATGCCGTGATCGATTGAGAAATGCCTGGACTTCGGTGTCAGTCAATCAATCGCTGTTTTCCATGTTCGTGGAATTAGTTCATAAGTATATCTAAATTGTGTGTTTACACAGCTTTTTTAAAATGGCGGACGTCAGTGTTTCGTATGGCATGCGTTCGGCCAATCAGCGTACACTTACGTCACTGGTAGTTCCTATTTTGGTGGATTAGATCCTACTCTGAAGTATGAGTTAATTTAGTCCTATTACTAAAATCGTTTCTAGTTCCTGTGGTGCGAACACACCAAAAAGTGGGTACTTTCGCCAATAGTTATAGCAACTATGAAAACGCTTCTCCAGTGTGAAAGTCCCCAATGTTAACAAATGAAACCTTATTGTAAAGTGTTACCAAAAAAAGTTAATGAGGACTGGTTCTGCCAAGCTCGAAGATTAAAAAGGCCCTATAAAAGTATCATAAATCAGACTTGTGCTTTATAATCCAAGGCTTCTGGAGTCAGATGATAGTGTTATGTGACGAACAGATCACAAGTCGTTATTCACTGATAAGCATTACCTTTAATCCACCTTAAATCTAGTTCATGGGATAATTAGCGATCTGAATGAATCGTTCTTCGCTGGTCCAGTTTATGGAACTTATCTGAATGATTCAGTTAAAATGACTAAAATAACTGTTCCTCACACAAAACTATCATAAGTCTTCAGAAGACTTGGAATATCATCACATGGACCACTTTATGGTGCTTTTGTGTCCTTTTTTGAAACTTGAACACCTTCACATAAGGAATAAAGGCATACAGGTTTGACATAAGGGTGACTGAATAATGACAAACTTTTTATTTCAGTGTACTGTCCCTTTAATTGGTAAACACATTAAAAGTTTAGATCATTTAAGTGTAAATTGTAATGCATTTTCATGTAAATACTGTATCATTATGTAAAAAATAGTTTTGTCTGTATAAATGTCTTAAAAATATTTAAGGAATGTTCATATATTTTGTACCACACTATTATTATGCATATGATCATGAACAATATTTGAACAATGTTTTACACTTTCAATGAACTTTTGTTGGTTTAACAAACAAAATGTCAAGCTATTTCGAACATAAAAGAAATAAAATAAAAGATGCCAAACTCTATTTAATAAATATATGATTTGCAAAGCCTGCAGCACCAATGCAGTCTATCTTTAAAGCGCCCAAGACAGCGATTGATACCTTAGATGGAAAGTTCATAGAGGATCTGAATCCATCTCTGTCTCCTGAGACGGACTACATCTCACTCCGGCTCCTCCGAGTCATACTTGAAGTCTTGCAGAATCTCACTCAAAGCGGCCGTATTCTTTATTGTACTGACAGAGATGGAGCGAAACAGAAAGAGTATTTTTATTTGGATGTTTACAACAATAATAGGTTTTTATCATGAACTTGATATACAAAGTACATCAAAACCACCAGGATGAAACATTACTTAGTAATGTACTACACCTAACACTGGTTGCCAGTCTTTTTTTTTTTTCAATTTATTTGACATTTGTGTGTAGGAAACGTTGCACTTACTCCTGTTTGATCTCATGGACTTTCTCCTGGAAATCCTCATCTTCTGGGTGATCTTGGGCATTCTGCTTGGCCAACTGTAACTTAGCTGTCTGAAAAGACATCAATATAAATAAACATTAGGAATAGTACTTACAGAACTGATACATTCGGTTCAATACTATTTTAATTTTATGCAATAAATTTAGAGGAGCAGAATCATTTCAGTACATGCTAATTGGCTGACGCAGAAGTTGTGCAGGATAAAATGTTTTATCCTTAGTAAATATGCTTGACAGTGCACATCTTAGAATGGCTTCTTATGCATAAAAGATCAATACACTGACTGAAATGCTGTATCCCATGATGCAATGCACTCAACTTTCCATTTCCAAAGTGATGAATCAATTTCCAGCTATATTGTTTAATGTCTATGCTCACTCATTTTATCCGTCTGCCAAAAGTTACACAAATATGGAATTAAAAGCAAATTAGAATGATTTATTTATTGTTGAGATGATAACTGGATATCAAGCAGTGCACGTTTATATGTAGTATTAGCCAAAGTTTTTTTTTAAAACAATACAGTCTTGTGAAAAGTGCCCACCAGCTCTAGCTTTTCTTTCTCTTTAATCTGCAGTTTCTCAATGTGCTCTGAAAGGTCCGGCCGGTCGAAGTCTTGGTGCAGTTGCTCTTTAATCTTCAGAACTTCTTTGGAAATGCCACAGAATGCTTTGGTTATCTCATGTACCAGCTGTTTGTAGTGCTCGAAGTCATAGTGGGGCCCCGTCCTTAAATACGCCTCATGACCCCTGAGAACAACAACTGCATTACCTCAAAATACCCCTGATAGACAGACAGACAGACTGATAGATAGACAGACAGATATACAGTTGATAGATAGACAGACAGACAGACAGATATACTGTTGATAGACAGATAGACAGACAGACAGACAGACAGATAGATAGATATACTGTATACAGACAGACAGATAGATAGGTATACTGTTGATAGACAGACAGACAGATATACTGTTGATAGACAGACAGACAGATAGATATACTGTTGATAGACAGACAGACAGACAGACAGACAGACAGACAGACAGATAGATAGATAGATAGATAGATATACTGTATACAGACAGACAGATAGATAGATATACTGTTGATAGACAGTTGATAGACAGACAGACAGACTGATAGATAGATAGACAGACAGACAGATAGATAGATAGATATACTGTTGATAGACAGACAGACAGATAGATAGATAGATATACTCTTGATAGACAGACAGACAGACTGATAGATAGATAGACAGATAGATATACAGTTGATAGACAGACAGACAGACAGACTGATAGATAGATAGACAGACAGTTGATATACTGTTGATAGACAGACAGACAGATAGATAGATAGATAGATAGATAGATAGATATACTGTTGATAGACAGACAGACAGACAGACTGATAGATAGATAGACAGACAGACAATAGATATACAGTTGATAGACAGACAGACAGATAGATACACTGTTGATAGACAGACAGATAGATAGATAGATAGATATACTGTTGATAGCAGATAGACAGACAGATAGATATACTGTTGATAGACAGACAGATAGATAGATAGATAGATAGATAGATAGATAGATATACTGTTGATGACAGACACAGACAGACAGATAGATATACTGTTGATAGACAGATTGACAGACAGATAGATAGATATACTGTTGATAGACAGACAGATAGATATACTGTTGATAGACAGACAGACAGACTGATAGATAGACAGACAGATAGATATACAGTTGATAGACAGACAGACAGATAGATAGATATACTGTTGATAGACAGACAGACAGACAGACAGATAGATAGATAGATATACTGTTGATAGACAGACAGATAGATAGATAGATATACTGTTGATAGACAGACACAGACAGACAGATAGATATACTGTTGATAGACAGAATGACAGACAGATAGATAGATATACTGTTGATAGACAGACATATAGATATACTGTTGATAGACAGACAGACAGACAGATAGATAGATAGATAGATAGATAGACTGTTGATAGACAGACACAGACAGACAGATAGATATACTGTTGATAGACAGACAGACAGATAGATATACTGTTGATAGACAGATTGACAGGCAGACATATAGACAGATAGATATACTGTTGATAGACAGACAGATAGATATACTGTTGATAGACAGACAGACAGACAGACAGATAGGTAGATAGATAGACAGACAGATAGATATACAGTTGATAGACAGACAGACAGACTGATAGATAGATAGACAGACAGACAGATAGATAGATATACTGTTGATAGACAGACAGACAGATAGATAGATAGATATACTGTTGATAGACAGACAGATAGATAGATAGATAGATAGATATACAGTTGATAGACAGACAGACAGACTGATAGATAGATAGACAGACAGATAGATATACAGTTGATAGACAGACAGACAGATAGATATACTGTTGATAGACAGACAGACAGATAGATAGATAGATAGATAGATAGATAGATATACTGTTGATAGCAGATAGACAGACAGATAGATAGATATACTGTTGATAGACAGACAGATAGATAGATAGATAGATAGATATACTGTTGATAGACAGACACAGACAGACAGATAGATATACTGTTGATAGACAGATTGACAGACAGATAGATAGATATACTGTTGATAGACAGACAGATAGATATACTGTTGATAGACAGACAGACAGACAGACTGATAGATAGATAGATAGACAGACAGATAGATATACAGTTGATAGACAGACAGATAGATAGATATACTGTTGATAGACAGACAGACAGACTGATAAATAGATAGACAGACAGATAGATATACAGTTGATAGACAAGACAGATAGATAGATAGATATACTGTTGATAGCAGATAGACAGACAGATAGATAGATAGATATACTGTTGATAGACAGACAGATAGATAGATAGATAGATATACTGTTGATAGACAGACACAGACAGACAGATAGATATACTGTTGATAAACAGATTGACAGACAGATAGATAGATATACTGTTGATAGACAGACAGATAGATATACTGTTGATAGACAGACAGACAGACAGACAGACAGACAGACAGATAGATAGATAGATAGATAGTTGATAGACAGACACAGACAGACAGATAGATATACTGTTGATAGACAGACAGACAGATAGATATACTGTTGATAGACAGACAGACAGACAGACAGATAGATTGATAGATAGACTGTATACAGACAGACAGATAGATAGATATACTGTTGATAAGACAGACAGACAGACAGACAGACAGATAGATAGATAGATAGACAGATAGATATACAGTTGATAGACAGACAGACAGACAGACTGATAGATAGATAGACAGACAGACAGATAGATAGATAGATATACTGTTGATAGACAGACAGACAGACAGACAGATAGATAGATAGATAGATAGATAGATAGATAGATATACTGTTGATAGACAGACAGACAGACTGATAGATAGATAGACAGACAGATAGATATACAGTTGATAGACAGACAGACAGACAGACTGATAGATAGATAGACAGACAGTTGATATACTTTTGATAGACAGACAGACAGATAGATAGATAGATAGATAGATATACTGTTGATAGACAGACAGACAGACTGATAGATAGATAGACAGACAATAGATATACAGTTGATAGACAGACAGACAGATAGATATACTGTTGATAGACAGACAGATAGATAGATAGATATACTGTTGATAGCAGATAGACAGACAGATAGATATACAGTTGATAGACAGACAGACAGACAGACTGATAGATAGATAGACAGACAGTTGATATACTTTTGATAGACAGACAGACAGATAGATAGATAGATAGATAGATAGATATACTGTTGATAGACAGACAGACAGACTGATAGATAGATAGACAGACAATAGATATACAGTTGATAGACAGACAGACAGATAGATATACTGTTGATAGACAGACAGATAGATAGATATACTGTTGATAGCAGATAGACAGACAGATAGATAGATATACTGTTGATAGACAGACAGATAGATAGATAGATATACTGTTGATAGACAGACACAGACAGACAGATAGATATACTGTTGATAGACAGATTGACAGACAGATAGATAGATATACTGTTGATAGACAGACAGATAGATATACTGTTGATAGACAGACAGACAGACTGATAGATAGATAGACAGACAGATAGATATACAGTTGATAGACAGACAGACAGATAGATAGATATACTGTTGATAGACAGACAGATAGATAGATAGATAGATACACTCACCGGCCACTTTATTAGGTACACCTGTCCAACTGCTCGTTAACACTTAATTTCTAAGCAGCCAATCACATGGCGGCAACTCAGTGCATTTAGGCATGTAGACATGGTCAAGACAATCTCCTGCAGTTCAAACCGAGCATCAGTATGGGGAAGAAAGGTGATTTGAGTGACTTTGAACTTGGCATGATTGTTGGTGCCAGAAGGGCTGGTCTGAGTATTTCAGAAACTGCTAATCTACTGGGATTTTCACGCACAACCATCTCTAGGGTTTACAGAGAATGGTCCGAAAAAGAAAAAACATCCAGTGAGCGGCAGTTCTGTGGGCGGAAATGCCTTGTTGATGCCAGAGGTCAGAGGAGAATGGCCAGACTGGTTCGAGCTGATAGAAGGGCAACAGTGACTGAAATAACCACTCGTTACAACCGAGGTATGCAGCAAAGCATTTGTGAAGCCACAACACGCACAACCTTGAGGCGGATGGGCTACAACAGCAGAAGACTCCACCGGGTACCACTCATCTCCACTACAAATAGGAAAAAGAGGCTACAATTTGCAAGAGCTCACCAAAATTGAACAGTTGAAGACTGGAAAAATGTTGCCTGGTCTGATGAGTCTCGATTTCTGTTGAGACATTCAGATGTTAGAGTCAGAATTTGGCGTAAACAGAATGAGAACATGGAACCATCATGCCTTGTTACCACTGTGCAGGCTGGTGGTGGTGGTGTAATGGTGTGGGGGATGTTTTCCTGGCACACTTTAGGCCCCTTAGTGCCAATTGGGCATCGTTTAAATGCCACGGCCTACCTGAGCATTGTTTCTGACCATGTCCATCCCTTTATGGCCACCATGTACCCATCCTCTGATGGCTACTTCCACCATGTCACAAAGCTCTAATCATTTCAAATTGGTTTCTTGAACATGACAATGAGTTCACTGTACTAAAATGGCCTCCACAGTCACCAGATCTCAACCCAATAGAGCATCTTTGGGATGTGGTGGAACGGGAGATTCGCATCATGGATGTGCAGCCGACAAATCTGCGGCAACTGTGTGATGCCATCATGTCAATATGGACCAAACTCCCTGAGGAATGCTTCCAGCACCTTGTTGAATCTATGCCACGAAGAATTGAGGCAGTTCTGAAGGCAAAAGGGGGTCCAACCCGTTACTAGCATGGGGTACCTAATAAAGTGGCCGGTGAGTGTATACTGTTGATAGACAGACACAGACAGACAGATAGATATACTGTTGATAGACAGATTGACAGATAGATAGATAGATATACTGTTGATAGACAGACAGATAGATATACTGTTGATACATAGATAGATAGATAGATAGATAGATAGATAGATAGATAGATAGATAGATAGATAGATAGATAGATAGACTGTTGATAGACAGACACAGACAGACAGATAGATATACTGTTGATAGACAGACAGACAGATAGATATACTGTTGATAGACAGATTGACAGACAGACATATAGATAGATAGATATACTGTTGATAGACAGACAGATAGGCATACTGTTGATAGACAGACATACAGACAGACAGATAGGTAGATAGATAGATAGACAGACAGATAGATATACAGTTGATAGACAGACAGACAGACAGACTGATAGATAGACAGACAGACAGATAGATAGATAGATAGATAGATATACTGTTGATAGACAGACAGATAGATAGATAGATAGATAGATATACAGTTGATAGAAAGACAGACAGACTGATAGATAGATAGACAGACAGATAGATATACAGTTGATAGACAGACAGACAGCTAGATATACTGTTAATAGACAGACAGACAGATAGATAGATAGATATACTGTTGATAGCAGATAGACAGACAGATAGATAGATATACTGTTGATAGACAGACAGATAGATAGATAGATAGATAGATATACTGTTGATAGACAGACACAGACAGACAGATAGATATACTGTTGATAGACAGATTGACAGACAGATAGATAGATATACTGTTGATAGACAGACAGATAGATATACTGTTGATAGACAGACAGACAGACTGATAGATAGATAGACAGACAGATAGATATACAGTTGATAGACAGACAGACAGATAGATATACTGTTGATAGACAGACAGACAGACTGATAGATAGATAGACAGACAGATATACAGTTGATAGACAGACAGATAGATAGATAGATATACTGTTGATAGCAGATAGACAGACAGATAGATAGATAGATATACTGTTGATAGACAGACAGATAGATAGATAGATAGATAGATAGATAGATATACTGTTGATAGACAGACACAGACAGACAGATAGATATACAGTTGATAGACAGACAGACAGACAGACTGATAGATAGACAGACAGACAGACAGACAGATAGATAGATAGATAGATAGATAGATAGATAGATAGATAGATAGATAGATAGATAGATAGATAGATATACTGTTGATAGACAGACAGATAGATAGATAGATAGATATACAGTTGATAGAAAGACAGACAGACTGATAGATAGATAGACAGACAGATAGATATACAGTTGATAGACAGACAGACAGCTAGATATACTGTTAATAGACAGACAGACAGATAGATAGATAGATATACTGTTGATAGCAGATAGACAGACAGATAGATAGATATACTGTTGATAGACAGACAGATAGATAGATAGATAGATAGATATACTGTTGATAGACAGACACAGACAGACAGATAGATATACTGTTGATAGACAGATTGACAGACAGATAGATAGATATACTGTTGATAGACAGACAGATAGATATACTGTTGATAGACAGACAGACAGACTGATAGATAGATAGACAGACAGATAGATATACAGTTGATAGACAGACAGACAGATAGATATACTGTTGATAGACAGACAGACAGACTGATAGATAGATAGACAGACAGATATACAGTTGATAGACAGACAGATAGATAGATAGATATACTGTTGATAGCAGATAGACAGACAGATAGATAGATAGATATACTGTTGATAGACAGACAGATAGATAGATAGATAGATAGATATACAGTTGATAGACAGACAGACAGATAGATATACTGTTGATAGACAGACAGACAGACAGATAGATATACTGTTGATAGACAGATTGACAGACAGATAGATAGATATACTGTTGATAGACAGACAGATAGATATACTGTTGATAGACAGACAGACAGACAGACAGACAGATAGATAGATAGATAGATAGATAGACTGTTGATAGACAGACACAGACAGACAGATATACTGTTGATAGACAGACAGACAGACAGATAGATATACTGTTGATAGACAGACAGATAGATATACTGTTGATAGACAGACAGACAGACAGACAGACAGACAGACAGACAGACAGATAGATAGATAGATAGATAGATAGATAGATAGATAGACTGACTCCTCAAATAGTTTGTATGCCTCCACACGCTCAGCTTGAAGAACATAAAATCTTCTGACCAAATTTTTTAAATCTGTAGGTGCCTTTAAAAAATGAAAGATGCATAATAAAGTTAGAACAGACACAACTCACAAACATCAAAAAGACTTTAAGAAGAATATAAATCCCTTATTATATATATATATATATAGGCCATTAAACTGAATTGGTTCAGAGTTGAAAACATCTTGAATTATTTATTTTTTTCCACAAATTTTGTATGTATGCAAATTGTATAATATCCAAGGAACACATTTCTAGTAATTGTGCAGTTAATTCTCATATTGTATTCATTTATATTTCAGAAAGTTTGGGAATATTTTTCCTCGCCCCAAATCTGTCCCTACCGAAACAATAATAAATAATAAAATAAGAAGGCTTATATTGACCTATTAAGATTTTGTTTGCATCTACCTTGTAAATAATTTTTTTTTTTGCTATTTTATTAAAAAGTTTTCACAGGTAAATCAATAACAATTACAATTTTAACAATATTTTAAGTGCAATTTATGAGATTTGTTGTATTTTGAATCCAATCTTTCTTTGTAAAAGTCAAAGTTTATCATAATGATTTCTAAGTTAAGGATTCGTTAGTTTGGATATACATCGAACACCATAATAATATCTTAGTTGATAATTCAATATACTTTCTTTTGATAAAACATCCCATGTTTCGGTAGTGACAGTAATGTTTTGGTCGCGACCACATCACATTACAGAATTTTAAGTCACATACTAAAACACTAATGATTTGCATAATAAAAAAAATACTAAAACACTAATGATTTGCATAACTGTACTTTCATTTTTTAAAATCTTTTCTAAAAAACGATCATGTCTTCCCTTTTGTCACTACCAAAACAATTGTCACATCTGAAACTTTACCATGCACGTTTCGGTCGTGACTGTTTCGGTACGGTAGTGACAATTTTAGATACTTTTGAGCTCAAAGATGCTAATCAGCACATGGTTGGCTAGCACAGTTCTGAAAAAGTTGCACACACACAAAAACTACATTTTATGGAATAACACCCAAAGAAGTTCGCTTAATTGCAGAAAAAGGTGTTTGGTAGTGACATTCCTTAAAGTTACACACGGATTTTCAGACTTTTTAACACATTTACCTCAAAATGAAGGGCCCTATAACTACTCACTATGTAACTATGAGAGAGAGACACAGGAATATTAAAAAAACCAAAAAAAAAACCAATGGGCTAAAACATACACTGTATCAGAAGTGACATAAAAATGTGGCATACGTTTTTTTAACATAAAGTTTCATGATTTACAAAGAAAATATAAAATAAATATTTTTTTAAATCAAATATATATATAAATAAACATGGAAAATTGCAAAAATTATTTCAATATAATTTTCATAAGTTGAAATTTAGGAGTTAGGATTCAGGACAGCCACCTCCCAAATGAAAGTACCCAATAAATTATGATTTTATTATATATATTAAGCTTACTGATATTTTAAATATTTTTGTGGGATTCAATAGATTTTTTTTTGGTTGTGGGACAGTTTGAACCAATTCTGTAGAATGGCCAATATATCTATATATATAATATCTATATGTGTGTGTGTGTGTGTGTGTGTGTGTGTACCATATTACCATGGTAAATCTTCAAAACATGGTAATAATCAGTGATATAATTAGAATGTATTTATATACAGTATGTTGTAGTATTCATTTGTTAATACAAACTTTAATATTAATTTATTTACATGTAATATTCGTCTTCTGAACATACATTTGTTTCTGTATAGACTAGCGTTAGCAATTTCACGACTGTGTATATTTCTGGTCATTTCCTATTCCTGAATCTGATTATATGATACAGGCTGAATATTCAATAACTTACCATGATGCTGAAACTGCTTTGAGTGTTTTCGTTGCTTAGCTGAGATATCTAATCTACTCTCTCGCGCAACATGTGTATCGTCTCGTCTAGTCACGCTGTGGCATCACTTCCTGTTTAGGTTCGCGGACGACAACGTCATCAAGTGACGTAGCCGCGATGCTGGCGTACTGGGCCATAAAACTGAAAACGTATTATTTTGATATGTGGTTAATTTTAACTTGTCATATGTACACTCCTATTTATTTTCCTTTCTTTCTTATTTTTATTTAAGTACCATTTTTTCTTTCCTTTTTTTACATTATTGTGTTGTTACCCATTTGGTTTATGACTTTTAGCACAATGTAGCCTACTAATTCTGTCATCATTTACTCACCCTTAAGTTGCTCCAAACCTGTATTAATTTCTTTGTTATGTGGAACATAAAAGAAGATATTTGTAGAAGATGTTTGCAGGGTTCTCAAGTTTTGTCAAAAGCTTGGAGTGAGATCACATGCGGTTAGGGGAGGAGCCCCAACGGAGCCCCGCCCCCACCCCCCAATTTTACCCAACCAGCACAAATTGAAATTATAACAATTGGTAAATCTGATAAATGACAGAGCAATTCATCACATCAAATATACTCTTTAATGTTATATTTCAAAATTAAAAATATACAAAAATTACAAAAATATAACATATTGCTCCAAACAGTTTGGAAAAACAAATCTTTTTGCATTTTGAATGTGTCTAGTCGAAATGGTATAATGATTTATTGTGTGGTGGGACATTGTGAACAAATGGACATATTAGAGTATTAAGGTGTGTGTGTGTGTGTGTGTGTGTGTGTGTGTGTGTGTGTGTGTGTGTGTGTGTGTGTGTGTGTGTGTGTGTGTGTACAAGAGTACACACTCCAGCTTATGAGGGTGAGTAAATGACTATAAATGTATATTTATAAAAGTATATTTAAAATTCTATTTGTTATGCACAATAGTCTATATATTTCTTCTCCGTGTTAAATCCATTTAATAGATATTTATGTTCTAAAATAGGAAATTGAATACCGTTTTTTCATTGGGCCTATATAAAAAATACACAAAACGGTACATCAACACAAAAGCTCATTTTAAATGTCTAGTGCTAAAGCGCCACTAGGGGGCCCCGATGTCCTATATTTTCCCACCATTAATGTGCTTGCTTCCATATTAAAACGAATTCACGTCAGGTTAAAGTTTTACATTTTAACTACAGACTTTTTTATGTAAATAAATAGATATTTAAGATCTTTAATTTTATAATTATATTTATCACAGGCATCAAATAAATTTAACATTACACGACTAAAACGTTCGGATCTTTTCAGTCTCATTCAATCGGACCTGTAAAGCTTCCAATCCGCGTTGAGGGACAGTGCAGTCTTGTCTCTACTAGCTCAGAGGGGCTCTGTTTGTTAGACTTGTTCTGACACACCACTGAATGAGACAAAAGCCTGGAGAGTTCAAAGGGGCAAAAGCAGCCTGCCCTGTTACATTAGGCTGTGGAGCTCAGCTCAATGGATCTGATGTGCACTAAATACCGTGCTACACAAGGGGTGGGGTGGATGGAGATAAGTTTTAATGCTGAAATATGAGCAATCGGAACTAAGGCGGATAAATAAGGCACGCCAAGAGGGATTGTCTTTACGCGTGGAGAGGAGTTCAAAAATCAGTTCCACGGACACAACACTGGGAATTGGAATAAAAACGCAGCACGCGCTCCACCGGAGGCTCGTGCTTTCCCCTCGTGGATGCTTAAGTTTGCACTCGAAATAGTAATTATATATTTGTGGAATATACGTATTGTGGACTCATTTCAAAACAAACGAGGGACAAAATGAGAGTGTTGCATGTGCACCACAATTCCTGGACTCTGTGGACTGTGTTCATGTGTGTTATGAGTGGAGTTCATTCACAAGAAAGACAGTAAGTATGTTTGTAGCGCTATTTGATGGATGATATAAACCGCTTTTTCATTTCAAGCATGCATGTTTTGATAAGACTTCAGTCAGGTGATAACTCACCAGTATGATTCGGATTGTCGCGCGCATGTGGAAATGTTTGTGCATCAACAACAAATAAACTCAGCAGCACAGCTGTTTATGTGTGTGGACGTTACAAACAAATTACATATAACCCGTTACAAAAATGTTCATGGTCACCATAGTTGTTACCAAAATACTATAGTCACTGCATTTACTAGTATAACACACCGTGGTAAACTAATATGGGATCCTCTTCAAGGAAGCTTTCTTGTACTTACCTAGATACTAGAGTTTTGGGTAACTTTTTATTTTACAGTGTCCTTGTTACATAATGTTATATGTACTTGGCATAGTAATAACAGTAAATTATGCATAATTACATGCAACTAACCCTCAACCAAACCCTAATCCTACCATAACCCTATAGTAAGGACATGTTAATTAATATTACTCAGTACTTAAATATATAATTACACTGTAACACTTGACACCTTAAAATAAACAGTAACAGAGTTTTGTTGTAACAGTAACTGCTGTTTTGATAGAAACTAAGGTTGCCATGGGACATTTTTGTCAACTCCCAAGTGATGTTCTTTCAAAACAGGTCATAGTTATGTTTTATACATTGCAGGCATTTAAAGTTGGTTATGTCATTGTCTTCATTCCCACTATTAGTATAATTAAGAAGTAGTTCACTCCATTATCAGCTTCAATGCTGCCTTGCTGTACTGATCTTTACATTAGACCCAGTTTATTCTACTCAAATTCTTCTGAGGAACAACCTTCAGAACAAACTTCAGTTCACTTTCCCAAGGCTATATTAGAAGATTGTGGTCTATATACCTATAAAGATTATTCAGTGGTTGAGCAAAGCATATTTATCTTGTCAGGAAACGTTTTCATTGTATGGTTCTTGGGTCTACTTGGTTATTTGGATAAAGCTGTTGATGATTGTGATTTTTGCCAAGTTGGTTGTTCATTTTTATTAGTCCTGGAACCAGATTTCTGTAACAATCCGCATAACCATATAAGTTCTCAGCAACTACCAAGTCCCAAGCATAATTCTAACCCTAAACTTAAGTCAAATGATTGGTTGACAGGAATGTTGTTGGGTTAATTGACCCAGAAACTACAGAAGTCCACAAACTTCTTCATCCTTCATACCAGGGTTGGGCAGAGCTTAGTGCCAGTGTCTGTACCTGTTACACGTGGTTGTGCCAAGTATTTCGAACACCAGAGAAAGAGGTCAAAAACCAGCTTGACCTCTTTGACAAAGAGCTACATTCTCTCGAGTCAGCCTGTGGCTGTTCTTTCCCTCAACAAGAGAGTGCTATCATGTAAACACTGAATAGGTCTATGCCCACCGCACACATGAGACCATTGTAAGATAGGAAGGTGAGGATCAAATGCAGTCAATTCCGCATAGATGCCTTGGAAGGGATTTTCTCATGCCTTGAGACTTAAATTGCCTCTGGCCTCGCTGAACCGTAATGCCAATCACCTGATATCTCACACTCAGGCAGGCTATTAAACTCAAGGACACTGAGTTACCCGGGTTTATTTGGGCATGTAATGGGTCAGAGTCACCTTCCCAATGTTTCTCATCATTTAAGGTCACTTGAACCAAATTTGCAGTAGTCTAGACAATTTGGATTCAGAAGAGATGAATTAGGTTAATGTCGCTTAATTGTGTAATAATGTTCCCCTACACTTGTCATGATGTGTGTTTGAAAAAAGCCCTAATAGTTTTTATTACATTGACCCCTAAAATTGGATTTGTGAAGCCCTGTGACTTTTTTTCTTAGAGAAAAGGCCTACACATCAAACATCGAAAGAAATCACCAACAAATGGTCTAATCATTGCAGAGATTGAAACTAATATTTGTCAGATTGAACTAAGAATGTACTAAAAGTGGTGGACTCACACTGCTTTCAAAGGCAATGTTTCTATTTAATATATTCTTTAAATAGTCTTTTCTAGCTCAGAATATGCGGCAAAACAAGTGTGTCTGAAATTGCCCCCGATACCCTCATTCACTATTATTAGTTTACTAATATAGTCCACTTAAAGGGTTAGTTCATCCAAAAATGAAAATTATTCCATAATTTACACTCCCTCAAGACATCCTAGGTGTATAGGACATTCTTCTTTCAGCCATTTTGAATCCCAAAAAAGCGTATTCAATTTCATCCATCATAAAAGTAATCCATACGGCTTCAGTGGGTTAATAAAGGCCTTCTGAAGCGAACCGATGCGTTGTTGTAAGAAAAATATCCATATTTATAACTTTATAAACTATAATCACTGGCTTCCGGTAACGGTCGTACATGAGTCTAGTTCCGGCGGAAAAAAAAGTGAACTCTAAACTAACCCTTTAAAGAAGTTGAAAATAAGTTGGTGAATTCAGACACAAAGTGCTCCAAAATAGCTTCCACTTTTGTTTGTGATTTCTGTTTAATAGTAATAAACGCAGTGCTCATCTGGTAAGCTCCAATAGTTATGATTAATGAAACTAGAAACTGAGGGGGGGAAAACACGGAAGTGACTATAACCGGAAGAGTCCATTCTCTAGCCGCTGAGTTTACTGTACATTGTTTGTACATTTTGTTTTTGCAGTGCAGTGGGATTAAATGAGTGCACTCTTAAGGCTGATTTATACTTCTGCGTCGGACCAACGCCGGAGCCTCTACGCTATAGACTACGCGTTGGTTTTAATTTATACTTCTGCGTCGTTGTCCGCGTCGATGCACGCAGAGGGAACATGTTAAACCCGAGGGAGCGGTTCCGGCAGACCAATCACAGCGCTTGCGTCCGCGTAGAATTGACGCTTTGTTACATTTTTGGAGAGGTGCACGTCAGGGTACGCCGAAGGGTACGCGCGCTACACACAGCCTACGACGTAGCTACGGCGGGAGGTCGACGCAGAAGTATAAATTGGGCTTAAGGGGTGAGACACACACAACCCAGGTCATGGTCCTGCAAGTTCCGTTAGGAGCCCCTTGCCGTCCCTAGTCCCTTTTTGTAATTTAAGCCACAAGGCGAATTTGACAAATAAGGAAACATTTGGTAGACTAAATTGGGTAGTCATGACTCATGGCCCTAATGATCAGCCCTGGCGACGAATATTCACCTTACGGACGA